GAACATAATAGTTGGTTTTGCACTTTGTAGATCAAATAATGTCTAATTATGTTCTGATGGTGTTAAATTGTCAACAAAAGGCTGCTTTCTTTAAACAATGGATCGTGCATGTCTGGTTTCTCTGATGAAAGCTGGTTTTGCATAGCAGGGACATTTCTTTTCATTTACCATCTTCTGACCAATCAAATCTTGAAAATGGGTTGTTTGAAATAAATGAATGAATGAATGAATGAATGAATGAATGAATGAATGAATGAATGAATGATGTTGAAATTGGAGTAGGTCACATGTTCCAGTCTTGGTTTTCATCTGAGTCAAACCTTCAGCATGTATAGTTTAAAACTTTTAAGTAGGTTTAGGATCCTGTGATCACAAGAAAGATGATTATACTGAGTCCAACCAAAAACCTGAATTCAGGCCGGATTTCATGAGCAAAATAAAAATTGATCAAATAATACCACATTTGTTTCGTGGAGTGTTTATTCATGTATATTTTGCATGTGATTTGTTTAACTGTGTTTGCTATAGCAGATAAAGTACACACTGGGCTATGTATTAGTCCTTTCAGTACAGTAAAGAAAGATTTTGGCCCCTAAAAATAAACTAAATGAGTAACATGCACGCCACTTGCTTGGTGTACTTTGTGCTGCAGGGAATCAAATCTCCCAGAAGTCCCAATTCCCACACATGTATTCCCTCTTAATGGGTTTATTTAAAAAGTCACTGATTTGATCCCAAGGAACTCTCTCAAAACACATCAGTCATAAAGCAGCATAGTGCTTAAATACAGTCCATAACACCGCCGACCACAGCTGTGCAGGAAGCGTGTCTACAACATCTGCAGTGTCCTAGAAGACACCTCCTCAGGTCACCAGCATATATAGTACATACTGCATATCCTACCTGTGGATCTCTCCATAGTTTCTAGTCTACATTGTGATATTTAGACCCATGTAGAGCACGGGTCATCTGGAGTTGGTCGTCTTGAAAAGTGTGTATCTGGATCACAGTGACTGAAGCAATGTTGCTGTTAAAAACCAGCACAAAATCAAGATGAATGTCATAAACCTGGATAGAAGGAGAGACGATGGGATCTCTGAACCGGGATCATTCTGACCTGATGATGATGATGATGATGATGATGATGATGATTCTAATCTGAACCAATCAGTTCAATTCTTGTGATCTTTCCCAGACCTTTCAGCTGCATCTCATAGTCTTCCTCCCTCTACGAAGGACTATGTGTGATGAAAGCTCTGAATTGAACTTTCACACAGACTTGCAGTGATGTTCCATGTTACAATTCCTCTCTTAGCTGTCAGGGCTAAAGCACAGTGTAATGTCAAAACAATATGCGCTCATCCTCCATCTACCAGCAGCTGTGTCAGTTTGTGGCCTCATGCGGCTCCAAAGTACAACAGCAGTGTGTCGGCTTGGCTGGCAAACCCACCAGTGACTGGTAGAGCCGTAGTAGAGATTGTTACGGCGTGTTATTGTGAAATGAGGCAAGACTGGAACGAAAAAGTCGAGAGTAAGAAACTACAGTGCGTCTGACACATGGAATCAGCAGGAGGGACTGGAGGTGTTGTGTTTCTACAGAGCACACAGCTGGTAAGCAGTGGGGGGATACATTTGATGTGTGCCAAGCAGTTAAGCTCTTAAGCAGCTCTCCCTGGGTTAATAATGCATTCACATGCCTCTAGTGAGAAAGGCTTATGGAGGGTTTGCTGTGTCACCTGCTGAAACCGCCTCAGACTGAAGCGATGATCATACATTTTGTAGCAGATCTTTAAAATAGCCTCTTATTTAGTCTATAACCTGTTGATGAGGTGGATTACAGGGTCCTCCAGGACACTGGGAGCTGTAAACCCTTCATTTCCTGCATTTTGGTGACTTTTATTTATTAATTTGTACACTTTCTGCATCAGTTTCTGGTGGAAATGTCTTTATTTAAGCAAAGGCAAACACAAAGTTTATTACTACACAATGTTTATTATTTTACATATATATATTCCCTATTTTGTCTTTGTTTTTTTTGTTCTTTTTGAGCCAACTGCAGCGAATTTTCCCTGTGATGTGCACCCTGTAAATCTGCACTGACAAAGAAAGAAAGTCAAAGTACAGGCGCAAATTCAAAGAATAAAGTATTCATATTCATGCATCTAACTGTATATTTTGACAGTAAATGTTCCCTGAAAACTACCCCTCCAGACACACACAGTGAAGCCAGACTTACCTGGAGTAAGGTGTGACTCCCGCACCTTTCACCTGAATCTCCCATCGCCCCTGGGTGCCCGCCTCCACCTCCCCCAGGTACATCACCGCTCCGTCCCCCAGCTGCCCCGCGAACAGGCCGAACTGGTGTCCGCAGTAGCAGTGAGCAGCCGGCTCGGATCCCGGCAGCAGCCTGGAGCCGCTCAGGTACTCCGGAGCCAGAGGCTCCGTCCGCACGTCCCGCTCAGCGAGGCCCAGCAAGGACAGAGCAGACCCGGACAGCAGCACCAGGGAGGGCCGGAGCAGAGGCTGGAGAGCCCCGATCCGCGAGAAGCAGGCCGCCGGGACGGTCCTGGAGCCGGTCCGCTCCGAGGCATCCACCGGCAGCTTCCTCAGCGCGCTGTTGTTGAACCGCAAAGACTCCATGAAGACTGACTGAGTGCACAGTAACACACACAGCAGCTCATCATCTGAGCTGTGGTGGCCCAGTGCAGCACCTTGTACCAAGAGGAACTGCTCAGGAGCAAGAAATGTGCAAATAATAAATGAAAGAATGAATGAATGAATGAATGAATGAATGAATGAATGGATGGATGAATGAATGAATGAATGAATGAATGAATGAATAAATAAATAAATAAACTATAGAGGGGCGTAGATTTTGGTTGCACATTATTCAGGCATCAGGTTATGAATAAACTGGAGGGTTGTTATTCTTACTATGTTATTTAGCAGCTTTGTTAATCACAGATAATGTTCGTATGTCAAACTTTCATACAGTACTGTTGAACAGCAGTTGAGCCAAAGTGCTTTCCAGTGAAAACAAGAGCAACAAATGGGGTTAAGACTCTATAGTTTTATTTATGGTGCGATTTGAATTGAGTAATGTTTATATTAGAGATTAAAACCCTACAAAACAGAAGTATGAAATGCTACCTGACTATACCACATACTAAGGCTGACACCCTACGTGTTATTATTTATGGAGTTTAACCTAGATTGAAGAAAAAAAAGAAGTAAAAATTAAGAAAAATCTAAATAAAAAACTGTGAAAATCTGGCAGCAAGGGTGCCAAAGAAAATATATTAAAAATATTTGAATACTGTAATTTTAAAACAGCAAAAACTGAAAAAAAGTCAAATATCTGTAAAATATATATATATTTTTTGCTGATTTACAAACAGTAAAATGCTGAACCTGTATGGTCACAATGTTCACTAAGGAACAAATTACTATTTGTAAAAACAAATTAATGATGTCAACATTATGTACAGTTTTGGCCTTTTATCTTGTGACTTTTATTAGATATAACATGTAGTTCAACAAATCAGGAAAAATCTTTGTTTTGTTTCTGTTTCCCAAACCTTAATATACATATTTTTTCTTTTAATTGATAGAAAAATAATGTTTTTCCGACCTCTGATTTAAATACAATAAAATCAAGCACAATTTTACAGTCAACTATTGTAAAAGAACGAATGATAATATGTAAAGACATAGATTTTCTTTGATGTAGGTGATATTCACAATTATAGCCTGTTTGTTTTTAATGATTAATATATATTTTTTTCTTTTGCTGTGATTCTACATCCCATTAATGACACTTATTTATTTAATTTAATTTAGTTAATTTCTCTAATGGGAATTACAAATACATGTACTCTAGATATCGGGAGGAACATTACTCTGTGTCCCTCCTGAAATCTGGGCCTCTGGGAAAAAGCATGGGGCAGAAATTAAATATTAGAACCCATTCAGACTAAACATGTGTTTGTATCTAAACAGAATACTTTGAAAGAACTACTGTTGAAAAACTAGAGTAATAAAAGCGCAATCAGAGCGCATAATATTTCACATTCAGGCATTACAGACAGTGTTACGTTTAATGTTTAAGGCCTCAGACTGTGTGGATGTCAGTGCAGCGAGGTGATACACAGAATGTCCAGCAGATGGCGGCAGCAAAAAAAAGTAAAGTCATGTGTTGTAAAAACGTAAACAGAGAAGAAGAAGGCTCTGAAAACAAATCACTTCCACTATGTAAATGGGTGTTTTCATCGTTAATATGTTTGCCTGAAGTGCTTTACGTACTCCAGAGGGGACGTTTTGCAGTTACAGCTCTGCACAGTCCTCCTTCACATCTGTGGCGTCCAGCATTGCCCTCCCAGTCCTCTGTGGCTGTGCAGCTAGCCGGCTGGCTAACAGCAGCTAACCGCAGCTCGTCAAACTTTTCAGCACCGGTGAGGGAAAATGGACCCAGGTGTTTTAACGGCCATTTCCAAAGGTGGGTTTCTCGGCAAACCTAGAACGAATAGAGACACATTTGTTCAGCAACTTGGAGCTGGCAATAAGTGAGCTAACGTCGACTTTAATGAGTGCTTCTACTCCTGCAGAATTAGCTCATGTAAATGCAGTATATCTATGAGGTTAGCTTAGTAAGCTAGCTTTAATTGTGCGTTACAAATCATTATTGTCTTATGGGTGGGAATGTTGTGTGTGCAGCCTACAGGCTACAAAACAGTTAAAGTATTGCTCACTGTGTTTCAGCAACATTGTTGTTATTGAACGTGCATTTAGAGGCTGCATTCAAAACAAACCACTGTTCCAATAGGTGATAAACTGAAGCACTTTGCAAGCTAGGTCGTCTTGCCATAGTAACACGGTATTAATAATTATTATTTTCTCAATATTGACTCTATTGTCATAATTGTTGGATTGTGCATTATTACTAAACACTGCATAGAATTCTAAAATAACTAAATGTTTTTGTAAAGTTTGACTTTCATTATCATACATGTTCTAATCCTGAACTTGGCAACTTCATAGGTCTGTGGTTAAGGATTTATTTACATTGTTGACTGATCTAGTATTTTCTTAAATAATTGATAAGTTGTTTGGTACAAAATGTCTGAAAATGGTGAAAAATTAGGGTTTTCCAAAGCCCAAACGGATGCCCTCAGATTACTTGTTTTGCCAACAGCTCAGAGATGTTCAGTGTGCTGTCATTAGGAGATGTAAAAAAAAAAAAAAAAAGAAGAGAGAGAGAGAGAAAATATTCAGAGAATTTTGACTTTAAAAAATAACTTAAACCAATTATTCAATTAGTTGATAGTTGGAGATTAATTTAGTAGGTAACATCCTAAAGATGAATTGTGGCAGCTCTGTATGATGGTGTTCTTTCTCATCTTTGTCATTCAGTCCAATTTCTGTGATTTCACAGCTTTCGCCACATCTGTCCGCTGCATGTCATGGTCCTTCTAGGCAGATAGAGCCTGTTCAGCAGTTAAAAATTTAGTATGTTCACTGACATTAAAAAAAAGAGAGAGATTTAAAAATATAAATATATTTAAGAATCTGAAATCTGGAAATTTTGACTTAAAATATTCAAACTGAATAAAATAGTTGAGAATCAGGCGTTGCAGCTCTGTACAAAGTTGTTTGTTCTGATCTAGGCCATTTAATAACAATTGCTTAATCGACTGAAGCTCATTGGTCTGCACTTACACAGGGCCTTCTAAGTTTACAACACTTTATAATGTGTTTCCTGTTATTCACACACAAACATAAACAAGGTGCTCACCTGCCATCAGGAGCAGCTTGTGGTTCAGCGTCTTGCCACACTTGGGCATGTGGAGGGGATGGAGATTGAACTGTCAACCAAGCCTGTCTACTATCTGACCCACGGCTGCCCACAATTTTCAGCTCTACAACTTTTCTGTATAGACAGAAATCACTCCCAGTCTCATCTTTTTAACAGGTGACTCCTTACCTCTGGCGTCACTGCGCCTCCTGGTGCCACCTTTGCAGCTCATGACAGCATCCATGTGGCAGGTGCTGAAGAGTCGGGATGTCATGAACTACTGGAGGGTGGCTGAGTTTGTCTCGTGCGTGCTGGACATGGTGCCGGAGCTGCTAATGTACAAACACAGGACTCAACTTAACCTGGGATTACGAGCCAGGGTGAGTGCCAGTGCAGGACACAAGGCATGTGGTAATAAGTTAAACAAGCAAGGCTTCGAATTAATTATTTATTAGTTTATTCATACTTAATTTGTCATTGTGGAAGCTGGAGACAGGATATAATTGGCAGTTACATTTACAGATCTGACTAATGATAAGTTGACTGTATTGTAAACCCAGGAGTATATTGGTGCATTTTTATTCCTTCCCAACAGTATATTCTTGAGTTGTGCCGAAGTGAACAGCTCGTAAAACCTGAGTTCATCTTGACTTACCTGGACCAGATTACCTCACCACACCACACCCTGGTGGATGTAAGTCGCTAACAATAGATTGTTAATTAAATTGAGTTTCCATATTCCTATTGTTTTTTGTAAACCCAAATTTTTGCTTTTTTTCTGCAGAAATTGAGTCATAACCCTGTGAAATGTGTAATGCTTATATCTGTATTGCAGGGTAAAGAATCAGAAGAGGAAGAAGTCATGGCCAACTTTCTTGAGTTGATTCAGACTCTGCTCAAAGATCCTGAGGAGAGACGAGACTTCTTCTTGGTGAGGCAGCATCACTCACACCTCTGGAGCCAAACACAGCTAATAAAGTGTGTATATATGTAAAGCAGAAATGACAGGAATACTGGTTTTGCATTTGTGATTCAGTAAAATTGCTTCAGTCACAGATTCTTTTATTCTTTCAAAGGAGGTCTTCCCTGCAGAGTATGGACCTCAGTATGACAGTGACTTGCAGACGCTGTTCTGGGAGTTTCTCTGTCGACTGACTCAGCTGCTGCCAGTTCCCGACCTCGAACAGGTGAGAGGTGTCACTTTGATAAAGGTAACAGGGCTATCACACTGTCACAATTAAAACTTAAACCAAGTAAGAGTAACTAAATAGTTATCCTGCGTAAAGACGTTCAATACGGCTACTTCCATTACTGTCAGACTTACTAGACCATTACCTAAACAGACCACTAGAGGGTGGATGGAGCACATTAATAACCAGCCAGTACAGAGCAAAACTTCTCCAGTGAATCTCGATGCATGTAACTCACTAATGATATGAAACTCCGCTGTTTACAGTAATTAAGAATGAAAGCAGTCGTCACATTAGTAGTACATTACTAGTTCTGTCTCCTATGTGACAGGCACCACAGAACCTACACAGTCACGTCATAACAGTTAAATCTGACATGTAAGATCAATAAACAATCAGGGTCAAACAGATGCAATAGTAAATTATCTAACTGTGCATCCAGTATTTTAATATATTAGTGTCAAAATAGTACGCAATAACTTGCACATGTCTAGACAGACTACACACACTGGACATACTCGCTTATCTTTGCAGTGACATTAAGATCTATGCACTGTGCTATGTGTCAACATGTTCTCAACTCTGAGGGATGTAATTAGTAATACTGTGGCCTCAAGTACAATGACACATAAGATTTGTTTCCTGAAATTCAAATACATGCTCTTACTTTTCAATCTTGTCTTTGAGAGCACAAAGGAACCTCTCCATAAATGGATAAAGATCACAAAGGCTCAGACCCAGCAGTGCCTAAACTGCAAACACTTTGAAAAAAAATATTTCACAATCGTAAAATGCAAAGACATGAATGTGACACATTCTCTTGTTGTGAATCTAGTGAGAAATCTGTCCGCTGAGGTCTTTTTGACAAGAGTGTAGTAAATCACGAGATATGACAAATAAATGCGTTTTAGTTTACAGGCTCTTCAGTGATATCAGTGAAATAACAGTTGGTAAAATATTAGTTGCCCAGTTGTGTTAAGTGTCTAATTAGTACTTAATTTCTTGTTAGTACATAATAAAATGCATTGTCATCTCTGAATTTATCTAATCAGTTGTGTTTATTATGTGTTAGTTTTGCCTTTGCTTTAACTTACTGAACATTACTGATGAATCCTCAGTCTTTCATCC